TATGTTCATTTTTATGATTATCTACTACTGTAATTAACTCATATATTAATTGTGAGTTTTTCACTATTATATGTTGCAGTTTTGCGTCTAATAGCCAATACTGACAAGAGCCGATCCACAAGCATGGCAATTATGTCCTTATCGGGACATGGAACAAAATCACCCTTTACATCGGAAAATCCATCCAATAACAGTGAGATGAAGGCATTTAAAAGAAGATATATCATTGCAAAAGTTACCAAAAATGAAAAAACAGCACCAAAGAATGGATAATAGTAATAAACTTCCTCCATCACTTCAGCGCGCCCTAGCATAAGGCCGACTATGTTCTGTAAACAACTAATTAGATTATTAAAATCGTAGATCATGGATCCAAAAACCAGATATGAATACACTGCGAATGAAAACATTGCAGTAAAAAGCATACAAGTGACAGAGAATAATTTATTTGATATTTTGTGAATTGTGCTGCTCATTAGAAAAATGCTATTGTTAAAGCGAAGGAACTTCAATGACTTGAGAGTAGTACAAAACACGATGCTTGCTATAACATAACCAAGTAATTGATCAGTAATAGCCACTTCATAGAAGCTAGAGAAAACTTGGTTGTTTGCTTTCATCCGTGCGAGGGCATCATTAGCGAGTACTTGACGAACACTGTATAGCACAATAGCAGTTAGAGACAATATGATAATGAATAATGTTAGAACACTCCAGGTGTTGAAATAGTCGTAACCACGCTGGTAAAAACGAGTAACTTCCTTGTAAATCATGAAGATCAACATGGCAATATATGCCAATTCAAGAACCAGCACAAACACTTGGAACTTGGAGGTAAATCGATAAAGCTTCATCACAAGGAACTCACTGGATTTCATCAGAGAGCCTGTCCCAGGAACTTCAAATAGCAGTGTGCACACGCAGAACAGGTTCACGTCTACATTGTACATCGTCCATTCAATAAACACTGCCCGTGTGTGCTCGTCTAACCACTTAGATTTCTGTAGTGAAGTTAATACAGCATTGGACGCACTTTCATTGATACGCAGCTCAGCAACGTAGCCACCGCGGTCGTACGCTTGCAGGTGTCCAATGTAGTAACTGCCCTTGACTTCATTTCTGTGCTGAAATGACCAAATATCCTGGCCAGGTATGTGTACACCTGATGATGACCAAGGCTCAGCATTTGAAGTCCTGTCCATATTTGTTTTATAAAGAGGACTTGCACATCCCGACTTCAAAGTCGATTTTAATTCAGTTGCTACAGGACATGAATCTAAAAACAAAATATTTAAAAAATGTTATAATCCAATTATGGTCTCAATATATCATTTAGATAGCTAAATTTTAAATAATAATTATTTTTTTTGTACACTTTTGTACTACTCAGGTGAAAAATGCAAGTAAAATTTGAAATTTAACTTAGTTGAGTTTTTGTAATCTCAAAGACAAATGATATTGACGATAAACCAAGATGATGCACCATAATAAGCATTTGTGACACTCAACATTGAGTGTTAAGACTAATGTATTTGTCCCATGAAAATGTATGTCATTTTATTAACTTAAACTAAATTATTTTATACTACCAGGCAATACTCGAAGCTGTCTTAGACGAACTGTGCTTGCAATGACTGAGCTTGTATCCCTCAAGAAGCTTGAATCTTTATTGAACCAAGCTGGTACTGCTGCCCCTTCTAACCAATTAAACAGGTCCACAAAACTGGAAACCTTGATGAAATATTAAAAAAGAAAAATAATATGTATTTAATGTGTTTCAATTTGTGAATTTTTAGGATTGATCTCTGCAACAACAGCAACAACAATATAGCAGTTTACTTGTAGGACTTATCTCTGCACAATATGTAATCACAATAAATAATAATAAAGTAATAATAATAAAAATAGTAATAATAATAATAATAATAATAACAATAATAATAATAACAATAATATTTTGATGTGAACTTGCATCAGGAAAATATCATAGGAATGATGTTTTGCCCTACCTGACGTGTTATTGTACCAAATACTTTGTACTGAGTATTCGGTACGATCACACGTCAGATAGGGCAAAACATCATTCCTATAATAATAATAATCATCATAATAACAATAATATCAACAATATAGCAGTTTACCGTATTAAGTCCGTCAGTGAATGTTGTCTGAATAATATTATTAAGAAAGAAAGAATTTGGATCTCGTTGGGTGTAAGCAATTTCCATTACAAGCCACATCAGTATGAGCTGTCCTATAAATGATCGTATCATTACGTGCATCTTGGCTTCTGCTTGTCGCTTCTCGCGTGCAATTTTCACTGCTTGAGTAGTTGGAGGGCGGTAGTGTTTCATGCTAGACTTCCGCTTCAAATGGTTTTTGCTATGGCTTTCACCATTTACATCTAAATCAGACTTAACTAAAAAAAAAAAATTATAATGAAAAAAAAAAAGTTACATACATTGACAGTAGGGAGCTTTTGATTGCACGTAGAACGTAATGACGTCACTAAAAGTCATCTGCGCATGTGAGAACGTTAAGGTCACCTCGTCGAGTAGATTCTGGAATGCAATTTGGCCAAATCTACCTATGCAGAGAACGTAGGACGCCAGGTAGGACGGTCACGCATGAGTGATTCTGTTCTAGCATCGCGTCCACGCACAAATCAAAAGCTCCCTAGTATCAATGTTTATGTTCTCCTAAAAAGTTTAATGTGAATAAAATGACATTTGTTCAATTATATCAGCCAATCAAATGATAGAGAGCCCAGTGTCTTTCTATATTTTATGACATAACAAATTTAAGCTCACAATAGTAATCATAGTATATGCATGGGACTTTCAAGGATTTAAATTTTAAAATATAAAAGAGGTTTAATATCTGATAATTTTTCTTACCTATGTGAAGATTCTTAAAAAACTGTACACCAACATCTTCTTTCTTATGAGCCTTGAAAACAAGAGAGACTATTGCGGCTACAACAAACATCTTAACTGGCTGGACCACAATAACATTACTGAAGAACGAAACTAATATTGACACCAACCAGTCCATTGATTTCTGTTTGCCAAACTTCAATCCATATAGCATTATAGCATAAGCTGACATCCCTTCACACAAAAACAAGACTAACCAAGCTAAGTAAATCATCCACCATGGAAAGCAGCCATCTTGGTTGGTGGATTCATCGCTGACAGCACTAGGTGTTGTCTCCACCAAATAACACTCTGGCCTTTGTTTGATGTTTGATTTAGGATTCTGGACAGCTTCCTTCCTGACAGATTTCTTCACAAATGCACCAGATGGCATTGATTTGAGTTTATCATCATCATCCAACCTGCCACCAACAAAGTCATCATCGGTTGGGCTTTGCTGTCTCTCTTTCAGTAGTGATGAGAAAAACTCCTGGGAAGATGTCAGATTAAGTTTACTTGATTGATTTTCAGAGTTAATTACAACTTCTTTGAGGTCTACTGAGCTACTTGAAGAAAGTGAGGAATCATTGACATTAGAGTCTATATCTGAATGAAGGGAAGATGAGGAATTATCAGCCTTATTGTCAGAAATTCCTTCAATCTCAAGGACTGTAGTTTCATCTGGTCTAGATCTCACATTACGAAACAGAGTTACTGTCAGAAAATTGATTGGGAATACCAGAATGCTACACTCAAGGCCAATGACGATATCCTTCCAACTGATTTGAAACTTTCCAAAATCAAGATCTTGCGCTTCCGGATCATCTGGTATGCCATAGAACATTATACTGGTTAGCATTGTAGTCAAGAGCACATTAAAACAACAGGCAATACGCTGGAGACTTGTGAAATTGGACCGTGGAGGGCGGGTGATGACAGAGAACCAGAGATGTCCGTCACGGATGTCTTGCATTGATTTTATGAGGAATATATTTTGGAAAAGGTGAAGCTCGTCCTCAGTTGCTGCATAGAATGTCTTGTCAATGATGCAGTCACCGATGTCTACTGCCAACCAGGTTTTGCAGAGGAAGTACCACCATTGATCACTGTCTACTTCGTGGACCAATATGCGACTAAGGTACCTTAAATAAAAAAAGATACAAAATTTTATAGTGAATCCGACTTTTGAGGGAGTGATGAATATCAAGTCATAAGAAATATCATTCTCAGTATTTACAAGGTAGAGATCTAAGAAGCAAGTGTGGATGAATTTATTAAACAACTTCCTCTCCTTCCCCCAACCCTTGAAGGGTCACTTCAAGCTTGATCAGCCAGTAGACACTCTCTTGTCTGCTGCTTACGAGAGTGGCCGGGTGACCAGTACACCGAAATATCCCCCTACAAAATCGCAAAGAATGTTCTGAGTTACTGTTTAAGTGCACATGAACCAGTTTCAATGCGTACACTTTTCCTTGTGATTACAAAGTTCTTTCTATCCCTGATTATTGGGTCCACCAGATATCCATTTATACTCTTGGGTAGAGAGGGGATATGCAGTCAATGTGCCTTGATGCCCCCTGCCCATCTGCTTGACTCCTCAAACTCATTCAACTAGCCTACAACACATGGCATCTATTCAGCTGTCCAAATGATGATGATCTGACAAAAAGTTGTGTTTCAATGCAGACAATAATTGAACCCACAATCCGTGAAGACTCTCACAGATTAACTTAACTTACCATGCAGGATGGCTTCCAGAGTTGTCATGCCATACCCTCACACTAGACAGATCACCCAGTGATTCTTTGGTTGTCAGGAGGAATGAATCAGATGTTCCTTGACACATCACCTTCCTTGTTAGAGAAGTCATGACATGTGGTTCGCTGTTTCCCTCCATGCCGTACAATGTAAGTGTGACCACAGCAGATGTCCCGGCTCCTGTACGCATCCCTGTGAATATTGTCACATGGTATCGATGCTCATGGACTGGATCATTATCCTGCAGGATAGTCACATGTGCCTATAAAAAAGTTTTTAATTTCTTATAATTAGTATTTATTGATATTTTTTATTCATTGATAATTGTTTCCTTTACTTTGAAGGTACTTTGCAAATTTTTTTTCTATTAATCAAAAGTAATAAAAAGTATCTGTATATTATTTATAGAATTACATCTGGTCTCCAGGATGGATAATGGTAATTAAAAATATAAATAAATAATTAAAATCTTCTATAAACAAATTAATGTTAAATATGAAATAAATATACCTACAGTATCAATTTAAATTAAAACATAAAGATATAAAATTATTAATATTGATATTCGGTATAATCGATTGCCAAAACACACTACCATGTACACATTTATATGGAGGGAGACAAAGTGCCTTACCCAAGGAAGCAATGAAGGGGGATGTCCCCAGGTTGAAGGCCTGTATCAAACCACTCCCAAATACATACATCCCATACACATATAAAATAAATATAATCTGATAAACAAATTGTAAATCAATCAACAAAAATACATACTAAGAAATAATTTTATGTTGATATCGAGTAACATAATACTTTTTACCTGGAAATGGTCTGACTTGTCTTTCCTTCTAGCCAAGATAAAGCAGAAAGCCTGCACACTGAAAACAATGATGACTGCAATGATCACAATAGGGTTGTCAAGGAATCCCCTAAAGAGTTTGGCATCTTCTACTAAGTTGATTGTATTGGGAAGCACAAAGAAATTCCCACCAAAGAAGGACAGATGTGAACACTGACAGTGCAAACGGTTTGCTGTGCTCAAAACACCAACCTAAAAAACAAAAATACATGGTGAAAGTCAATATGAGATTCTTATTTCTCTTTTTTACTATTACATTTATGAGTGCTGCCTCGAATGTTCATTTTTCTTATTAAAGATTGCAAAAGCTCATCTTGAAATCAATTGAGAGCTAAATCTAACCTGACAACCATCACTGCTCCACTGATCAAATTCCATATTCCAATACAAACATGTTGCCATGAATGCTGCTACTGTATAGTTATCATCACTGTTTTGAGTCTCCACACTAACAAAGTAAGAGCCTGCACCAGATATCTCATCAACATTGATAACCCACGTGAATGTATTCCCTGTCAAGTTAGTTGTCACGTTCCAATTCACAATGACATCTCTAGTGCTCAGTGGAAAATGCATTGAGCGGTCATATTGCGTACCATTGGGAGGCAGCTCATACCGTAAGTAGAGGGTCATCTCCTGGGAAATATTGGATGGGTTTACTAGAATTACAACGGACCCAACATTGCTTGTGACGTTAAATCCATACGTAAGGGTTGTGGTCGTGTTGTCAATGTAAATGCCTTGAAGGAATGCAACAGTGTCAAGTTGAGTTGGATTAGCTATGAATATGTTGATGTTCTCGGAGAGGTCTTGAAGGTCGACTTCTGCACCTTCTGCTCTTGTGAGTTCTAGACTGCAGACTTGAGAGGTTACACTTGCACTTGATTCATCCCAGATAAAAGGATTTTGCTTGAAATTATTCATCTGTAAATATGTAATTAAAATATCATAATAAATACAATAATAATTAGTTGCTTAATATATCAGTACACTACACAAATCAGCAGAGATAATCAGTGGCGGATCCAGGAATTCGAAATAGAGGGGCCCAGGGAGGGAGTCTGTCTAAGATAGAGAGTCTACCCACCATTTGGACATTTGAATCCGTTACTGATGTTGTTTCAATCTACAAGTGACACTGGGATAAACGGATAAATGTAATGCTTCTCTTAATAATTTACCTCAAAGAATAATGTAATTGCCTATTCTGTTACTTAGAGTTCCCTCATCCAAACACATACTCATTTAATTTTTTCTTTAATGCAGTATAGCTTACCTAGAAGTTAAGGTGGTATATCGCTAATATCATGCTCAGATTGTGTTCACTGGAATAAGTGTGTTCTGTTCTACTCACTAGATAAGGCTGCAACTTTAGAGCCTATTTGGACTTTACAGGTATGTGTATCTCCACATTTCACCAGTATTGTAATAAGTAAATTAATTAATTTATAAATCATTTGATTGCTTTTTAACCTGTAGACTGATAACTTCATCATATTGATCCTCCGATCCAGTAACCGCATTGCGAACATTATCTGGTAGTCTGAAGGATATTCCGCTGTCTCTGTCATTGAACACCAAGCCGTCCAAGTCCCATTTCTCCTGTTTCTGAAGCACAACAGACACGGTGTCAGTCTGAAGATATGTAGGCTCCTCACCAGGCACTTTATTAACAAAAATTGCAGACTTTACTTGATCCAAAGCATTCAAGGAGACCAGTGTCACATTTCTATCCTAAAAATATAATGATTATGAATATAAATTACCAAAGCTGGTTTTACTTGAAAGTAAAACTACCTTTTATTTTTTAACAAAAAATGCACACAGTAAATAAGGTCACTTTTATAAATATTTGATTTTCCCCATTTTACCTGAGATCTTTTTTCTGTAGCCTTGTTTGCAACCTGGTTAGTTGAGGCTAACTGGTCTTCACCTTCAGATGGTGACAATGTGGTGACTTTTGCCATGATGTTTGAAACTCCAGACATAATAAACCTATTACAAACATTTGAAATGCATACAATTTTAATTGAATCTTTAAATTTTCTTCTTTTTATGCATTCATGTCAACATTATTAATTTTTTTAGATTACTGCATTTGGCTGATAGAATGGTATAACATTTTGGGTCAGGCTTGGCCAACATAAACATTTGTTGGCATTATGTTGTTATATCTCACCTGGCTACTACTTCTACTACTTCACCTCCTGCTCCTACACTAGACTGTTCCTTCAGGTAGCTACCCATGTTGACAAATGCATTTGCTGCAGACCGCTGTAATAAAAGTTAAATTAAATTTCTACTGCTGCACTACACAACAGAAACAGTTTGTTTCATTAAGGAAAGCAGATAGAATACCAAAATGTTGGCAATGAGTTATTTATCTTCCCCACTCCCCTCTCAATTTTTTGCTGACAAAATCCACTATAGGTTCCAAACAAAACTGTAGCCTCCATCTAATGAGCTTTCAAGTTGGAATCCTTTCATATGACTATGGAAATGCTTATTGAGCCACAGAAATAATATTTAGATTAATTAATGATAACTTGATAAACCTGTGCTTTGTCTGTTATCTCATCCTTCTCTTGAGTGACTTGTGCGATGGCAGCAGACGTCTGCTGTAGGGACTCCAAATCACGGATTTCAACTGATTTAATGTTTTCAATAATAGCTTCACGTATCTGTGGGAAGATGAGGATGGGAATGTAGATCAGTGAGTGCATAATCTCAAGTAGCAGTCACTGTGACCTACACATGGTGGAAGCTGATTGACTGATTGATTGATATACAATTGGGGAAAATCTGGAACACACACAAAAAATACAATAACAAATTTGAACTGAATTAAAACAATAGTTTTTACTGATAGAATTTAACGGTCTATTAATACAGGAATTGTATTACCTATGCATCTGTTACTTAAGTAGAAAAT